AAGCTATTATTAATAAGTGTCTGTTTTATATTCTTTAGTTCACTGTAAAAAATCTGTTTTGTGGATGAATTAGTTTCTGCACGATGTATTAGGTTCTTTATAATTGCTATTTTGTAGTAATATGGGTATTCGCTCTTGTAGTTAAGTGTACATGAATTTATGCTTGTAGGTTTTTTGTATGGCGAAATAGTAAATTTGTTATTATTTGTGTTTATCAATATGTCAAGGAAGGGGATTTTATTATTAGTATTAAGTTCATATGTGAATTTAAGGACAGAATTATTTTGGAAACGTTTTTGAAGTTGAAGTATTTTATCTGTTTTTTTAACTAACAAAAGAATATCATCAACGTATCTTAGGTAGATTGATGGTTTTTTAAAATCTGTAAATATCTTATTTTAAAGGTTTGACATGTAGAAATTGCTAAATTCACATATTGGATCAATATTGTGAATTTCTTTCTTCGTTCAATTATAATGTTATTAAACTTATTAGACGTTATGAAAAGATTTTACATAAAATAAATAGACAACACTTGTCTATATTATTTAATGAAACGTGTATATATATATATATATATATATATATATATATATATAGCAGTCAAAGATTGTATGAAAATCAAAATATTCGACAATCAATGGGATATTGAGAGAAAAGGCATTTAAAATTTAGCAAATATATATAACACTTATGCACAAACATATATATATATATATATATATATATATATATATATATATATATACATATGATTGTGCATAAGTGTTAATTTTTTTTTGATAAGTCACTTGAGCCAATTTCTGTTTACCAACCAGCTGCTTAGCAAAAAGTATGGGCTAAAGTGGAGTATTGCATTTCATATGACTGCTTAATTTCTACCATCATGAACCACACATCTGCAAAGATCTTATCATGAAGCATCACCACTCACTGCTAAACTGGTAGCATTGCATGAGATGAAGTTTGTGTAATCTAGTCACCACTAACAGGACAAATTCTTTCGGTAGCTCTAATCAACCATCATTATAAATTTGTACTGATTTCCAAGTTAAGAGACAATAAGGTGTACTTTAAATGTTTACCTAACTTTATCATCCACTTAAATGTATGATTTTGTGGTAAATTGCCAAATTTGTATTTATTATTTTTATAATGAATATGAAAATTTTTAATAAAAAGTATTCTTAAAAAAAAATATTAAAAAGATAGTAAAATGAAACTATTATTATTATTTTTTTACAATAAGCTTCACTCTATACAAGGATTGGGAACCACTCAAGGCAGAGGGTTACATTAGGAGGTAGTTTGTATTGATAGGAAGGTAACAGTTAACCCTAGACTTGAACAAGTTAAGATTGGGGAAACATCCTCTTGGGAGTCAGTTCCACAGAGCAGCAGTTCACAGGAAGAAGCTGTTCAAGTGAAACTTACTTCTCACCCATGGAGCATGGATGGAATGTGGGTGGTTTTCTACTATGTAAGTGGTATGGCAGGTTCTTGCTGTGAAGGCTAGGCCTGGCGGAATCAAGGAAGGTAGTTTGTGCATTTTCCATGAAAGTAGTGATAATGCAGTAAGAGGCTGGCCACATCACATCTGTGAGAAAGAGGTTGTTGGGTGGAAAATAATTCATCACCTACAAGGACGGAGATGATTTTGGAATCTATTGTGTCTGGAGGGCAGTCTGTGCAGATCCCACCCAAATATGGCAGCAGTACTCCATTCTTGGACTGATCTAGCTCTTGTAAAGGTAGACTTTATCATTACATATTCCTATGCAAATTACTATTGCTAGAAGTACTCATTTTGAAAGATTTTAGCAGTATAAGCAAATACTTTGTTGTAACTAGACTGATTTCTTATCTACTCAGCCCAAATAGCAGAACTATTGGAAAGTAAGTACAGACAAATCTCTCATCAACAGACTAAGATGGGGGAGGGGTGGTCTGTTAAAGCTATTTGTCTGTATATGGGAAAGGATTATTTTTGAGTTATAGTAACTACTTGTAGTTATGATCATAATGTATATACTATAAACATGTATATGTATGACATAAATAAATATATACTTAATATAGACATATTAATCAAAATAACAAAAATAATAGATTTCTCACAGCTACTTTCTCATGTACATGCTAATGTATCATACTTTATATACTGTACACTTGCCTTTGTTTACAACTGAAAGGCCTGCTACCACTGCCAAGTGGTCACTTTGAGAACTAATATAATTTGTTCTGCTAAGCCTGCAGATTTTGAAATATATCACAGATGATTTGGAAGTTTTTTCCTGCCGATTTTTTTATTTTACCTGCAGATTTTGTCCATTGCATCAGATCCATTGATGGGGTGTCCATAGATGAGAGGGTTGTCTGTACCCACACCACCTGGTCTTTTCCCCATTTCTTTTCAAAGGAAGATTTTCTTCAACTAATATAAGTATCCAAATTTCTTAATTTGGCCAATTTGTTCTTTGAACTTTTTTACTTATTTTATTTGTTCTATGTGATTTTTTTTTACCCCAGCCACTCCCCTTGTAGTATTTTTGTATCTATGCACATTTTTGTGCATTTTGTATTTTTTTGTAAAACATGTAGATTTTCATTTAATATTAGGGAAGACTACCTTAAATAAATTTCTCCTTCTTGTGGGGTACACTATGCTGTGGAGTTAAAATCTTTTAACTAAACCTCTAGACATAAACTAGAAACTTCTATAAATAGCACCAAAGAAACAATGGGTAGTAAGTTCAACTCACAAACTAATTTGTTAGTGTAGTGAATTCAATCTTCACCAATCAGTTGAAGCTAAGGTGAGTGTAGAGTAGTGGTAAGCAAATGGTTAGCAATATCGTTATTTTTCAAATTCAATTGACTAATTATGACATACAGAATAAATCTTGCAGTAAACAGAAGATATAAAAACATTGCATGCTTAGATGAAGCATTACTTTTATTTGTTCAAAATGTCCAATACAAAGTCAATGTTTTAAAACTCCCTACACACACACATTATATATATATATATATATATATATATATATATATATATATATATATATCAGAAGTTTGGAGGCACCTCTTTGAATTTCAAAGAATCACCTCTAAAACTGAAGGGTTGTGTACCTTTTTCAAAATTAATTTACAAGCTCATTTTGGGACAGACGGATTTTCTCTTCCTGAAGGGTTTATGATATATTCAATAATAGTAATAACAGTGAAGTCAACCTATTAATGCATAAAGTTTCTTTAAAATTTAAGGTCTTTTTCCTAATCTAACTTGTTGACAAATGGTAATCTTAGAGTTATCAATTTAGAATTTTAGTTAATCCGCTCTCTAAAAAGTGGATGCCATGCACTAATGGGTTAAATATTTTCAGCATTCAAGTCAGAGGATGGCCCTAAACTTTCTGCCTATAGTGTGTGTGTGTGTGTGTGTGTGTGTGTTTGTGTGTGTGTGTATATATATATATATATATATATATATATATATATATATATATATATATACACACATTTGTTTATTTATTTATAAAAATAATATAGCATTCATTGTTTTTTTTTTTAAATAAAGTGTTGGGGGGTCAATTGATAAAAATCACCTGAGGATGCCATAAGGTTGAAACCAAGGTAGTGAAATCAACTCATCTCCTAATTTTCAAATTTTTTATATATATAATGTGTGTGTGTGTATGAAATAACGGTACAAATAGTAAAATTAAGGTAAAAAATTTTGGGACCACTGTAAATGAAAAAGTGGCCACAAGTACTACACAGTAATGACTAAAATAATAAATATAGAAAAGCATGGTTTTACAAGTCTGGATGGTCTTCTTGATGCTCAACGCAGATGCTCATAGTAATCCAAGTACACCAAGTGTTTTTATTAAAAAACCATCTCTTGGAAATAAGTGTGTAAAATTTCAGATATAATTAAAAATATATCTGTAAAAGGAGAATATGAATAATCAAGACAAAAGGAAAATATATCTTAGCCAAAAGTTTAATTCTCTGATGGACTTTTATTTATATATATATATATAATGTTGGCCAGTGGATCCTGTTTTTTGTCCAATCTCCTCATGAGCAGAAAAGCTAATGGGAAGCTGATTTAGATGCCAACCACCCATCCATGTGACAGGTTGTACTGTGTTACATGTTACCAGTAGCAAGCCTGAGCATATTTTTTATTTATTCATGATTGGTTAAATCATGAATAAAAAAAAATATTTTACGCATCAAATATTCATTTTTCAACATAATCAGTTTCCTTGTTAATGCACTTAATCCAATGGTTCTCTAATAATCCCATAGATTGAACATTATACAGTGGAGATTTCAGATCAAATTCAGCAATAATCATACCAAGCAATGGACTTTATATATTCTTGAATAATTCTTTTCACTGTCAAGGAAATATGTTGAAAAATAAATATTTGTTGTGTCAATAAACACTTTTCTTTTTCGTCATTAAGCTATGCACTTACTGATTTATCTAGGTATATCACAAATAGCTTGTATAATCTGTAGTCTTTATTTTTATATAATCTGTAAACTTTATTGTTTAATTAGAAACATGATATTTGAGCATTTTTATTTTCAAACAAAATAAAATATGTCAAGTTTTATTTCTTACATTTTTATTTATCTTATTTATTTATATATATTTTTTTGTTGAAATATTTTTATCTTCTAAAGATTGTAAGAGTGGGAATGTATCGGTGTGTTTTTACATAGAGAGAGAGAGAGAGAGAGAGAAGAAACACACACAAAAAGAGAAAGTTATTTCTTTAATATTGCAGAATACAATTCAATTAGTATATCTTTTTTATAAGCAAAAGATTCTATTTTCTTTTCTTTTTAAATATATATGAAAATATATATAAACAAAAAGAAAACACAGAGGCATAGTTTTGTTAAGACTTACAGATATTAAGTAATATTAGATGAAATCATGGTTTGAAAGGAGAAGGAATATTCAAAAGATTGTTACTTACAGCTGTGTCCAGAGTGTTAAGAGTTAG